TTTAGGGACCACATTACACATTAGGCCAAAATTCAGGGACTATTTGTGTTATTATCCCTAAATTTATTCGAAGCTTGAGCTCAAATGTTGAAAATACTATAAAATTGAGAAACAATTTTTTTTAATCTATTCCTAACATCGACAATTGTGAATTTGATAAATGATATTGTTCATTTAATTGTTACGTTGTTAAATAGATACTTAAGCTTGACCTTTGCCCAATTAATTTTTTTTAATACTGGACCACAATAAGCATATACTTATGAGTTAACCAAGTTACTTGACTCGTTTTCAATCGTGTCAGTGACCTTTTGGCTGTGTATCTTCGAAAGATTATTATGAGATAAGAATGGGCGGATGCATCAAGAATTTGATTTTAATTTCTTTGTGCAACAATATTGTCAAGCCACATAAATTGATTAAAGTATCTTTTTTTTGTATAAACACCAATTCGGATGGAAAATAAAAGATTATACTAGATATTAGAAAGTTTCAAGAATGTTTATGGCAATTTTTAAGCATATAATTTAAGAGACTATTTAGTTAAGCTTTTTAAAAAGCAAAAGGCAATTTTTTTGCTTTCCCATTGTAACGTCCTGAATTCAACCTACTTTCGTGATCAATGAAATAGATATTTATTTCTCATTTCATTTTAGTAAGTCTCGCCCAGAACGGATCCTTCTCGGATACTGACCAATAGGGAATGACTAACTAGGAAAACGGTATGTGGACCTAAGAACTCGATCGCAAATCGAGTCGGATTCCGAGAAACGACGAGGGAATATTTTGTGCCAATGTGGGCCGATCCAAGGAGAGTGACGGATTTGATTTGGCCAACGACGTACGATCGGATCTCGGGCGATTCCGCACGATCGAGAGTACGCATGGCGAACAATTCCAAACTTAATCCGAACGATCGTGACCTCCGGAACTAGCGATAAATTCTCGTGTTCTCTTGGAAATCGAGACCGTTACGACTCAAATAATCCTAAGTCAATACGCGTAACCCCTAAAAAGGCGCCCGTTAGTGAGAGACGCTAAAATCGCATTTGAGCGAAATTGATCGTGGAATTGAGTCCGGACTTGAGTGTCGAATTTCACGGACGTATGTGACTATTCTGCAAGGACGACGTCATTTTAATGTGGCCAATTATATTAGGAATCGGTATAGTCAAAAAATGGAATTTCGGGCCGGAAATAGAAAAATTACCAAATTGCCCCTAGGCCCTAAGTGTTAATTCCGAATTTTAAAGGTTTTTAATTGGTTTTATTCAGCCCATTAGTGCTGAAAATATTGGACATTGATGCCCCCATCACTCTTGCTCAATTCCCTAAGTGCCCCTAGATATTTTGGTGAAGATTGAATCATAGCCCTTGATCTTGATTGGATGTGATTGGCTTTCAAATTCGAGCCATTAGATCAAGTCATGAGTGGAGAGGGTAAGATGGTAATTTTTAGAGGAGTAGGCCACCAACTCCCACCAACTCCCACCTACCCATTTTGGATAAATATCTCTCTCCCTCTCTCTCTCCTCTCACTCTCACCAACCGGTCTCTCTCTCATCTCTCTCTCACGCCTCACCCTCTCCCTTCTCTCTTCCTCCTCATTTCGCCACCACCACCAGCACCATCACCGCCGTTCACCGCCCAGCCTAGCCAAGCCACCGCCGCCGTCGTACGCCGCCGAGCGCCGCCAAGGGAGCCGCCGCTCGCCGCCGCTGGTCCGGCGTGGTGCCACCGCTGTTCAGCCCATTTCTCTCCTTGTCCGGCCCACATTTGAAGCCTTAAACCTTGTGAGTGGAAACCCTAACCCTTAATTAGGCTTATATGCACTTTAGACAAGTTTTAGGGGTTATTAGGGTATATTAGGGATTAATTAGTGTGGGCCGATTAAGGCTGATGTTGTGGGGATTTTAATGGCCTAATGTGATGATTTAGGGATGGTTTAAGGGCTGTGGATAATTGGTTTAGTGGCTGGTTGTGCTTGGTTTGCTTGGTGATGCATGTTGGTTGATTTCCGGTAAGGTTGCTACTGCGTCGCTGGATTTTGTTATTTTTGGTGTGACTTGTGTGGGCCGAATTTAAGGAAGTGTTCTTCATGAGAGTTGTTCATAACATCTTGACGTTTGACATAATTTAATTTGGGAATTTTTGGAAATCATTTGAGGCCATTCGGAAGTCCATCTTTGGACCGAAATAAGTCTACCGGAAACACTGTTCCTCCGACCTTCGGGTCTGTTCGAATTTTTATAAATTTTTATAGACCTATTTTCAAAATACTTCCTTCACAAAACTTGTTGGGAACACTTTTTTATATGACATATAAAAATTTCAGAGCTTTCCAAAGTGATTTGGGTACTGAATGAGTTGTATTTTGATGGTCTGAGGGGCTGTCCGAGCGAACTGTCCGGATTTGAGTGTCAAAACGAGGTGTTTACGGTTAGAACTGGGTTTCGAGTTCTCCACGGAAAATGTTTACCAAGATGTTTTATACAACATATCCGAATTTCAGAATTTTTGAAATTGATTTACTATTTATTTCAAACAGATTTCTGTCACTGTGCAACTACCCAGTTTGGACCCGATTTTGTATATTCTCGGTTTTTCCTCTCTCTCGGACTGATTAGTGGCTGTCCATTGAGGATTTAATTGGGCCTTGTACGGCTAATATGTGATTTGTTCATGAATTGCCGAGTGTGATTGTTATGGCCATGAGTGTGCATATTGAGCATTGGCATAACATGTGCATTATGTGAACGTGCACGAATGGCATGAGCATGTGATCACCTAAATCGCCCCGATGCGTTTAGGCGGGGTTCAGATAATAACTGGTGGATGTGCATGTGTGATCACATAAAGCCCTGATGCGTTTACGCGGGGTATTGAACCCGTCCTGATGCGTTTACGCGGGAGGTTGCCCGAATTGCCGGAAGACGGCCAACCTGATGCGTTTACGTGGGTGTGGTCCGTATATGGAGATCGGTGTTGCGCCTAATGTGTTTACGCGGGCTAGAGACACTAGGCCTGATGCGTTTACACGGGCAAGGAAGTGTTGGATATTGATGGACCTGATGCGTTTACGCGGGTCGGACCCGATGCGTTTTACGTGGATCGGAAGTGAATAATTGGAAAGTTGGCACGTGTGCAAGTGTGCAAGTGTGCATTGAATTGTGCAAGCATAAGCATGACATTGGCAAGTGTGCGAAGAGTGCATAATGAGTGCAAACATGTGTGTGGCATGTGACAGTGGCCAATTGGCATGTGCATGTACATTGTGGGGCATAGTATTATTTTATTATGTGCCTAACCTGCAGGGTCACTATATGCTTGATTTGGGCCCGAGGGCCTAAGTCGTGTGATTCATCAACTGTGTGTTTAGTTGATTCTTGTCCGGGAGGTGCATGTTAGCCTAGTTCCGGAGTAGGGGGCCTACTCGCTGAGATTTATTCTCATTGTTGTTTAAACCCCACTTTTCAGACCCCCGACCTTGAGATGGTGGATGCGCCACTTCGTTTTGGGATCCTGGACCGGATAGATCTTTCGGTGACCGAGTACCCCGGTTGGAACGGGAAAGTATATGTTAGTGGCTGTTGACCCACATTTTGGTTGGTGTATATTGCCTAGCAATGGATATTGTAAATCCCGGTTATTAATGCAAGTTGTATTTATCTTACTCATTGCTACCTTTTGTTATGTGATTTTATATTGTACGGGTGTTTGTTACTTCCGCTGTGTATTGTTCTCTGTTGTTTGGGTTTTGGGTCGGTGACGCGTCCTGGGACGTCGCACTGAATAGACCTCGGAGGGATGATCGCGCGCTCGTAGGGTTCGGGGCGTGACACCCATCGTCAAATTTTGAAATATTACTGAAATTTCAAAATTTTATAGAAAAGATTATATTTGAATTTAAGGATCAAGATTTGTATATTGTGTAAATTTTGCATGTCTAGATTAAGAAAAGATGAGAGTGAGTTCATCGCAAAATTTAGATGATTAGATGAAGTAAAGAGGAAAAAAGTAAATGTCTATTCAAGTGATTCTAATTTTTACTACATGATCTTCATATAGACATTACGAATGCACATAGGTTTAAACTCAAGGGTTGGCGAAGTGATTGCATTGGTGCAAAGTAATTTTTTTTTATGGATTATGAGTACTAATTAAACATTATCTATTTATTTATCTTTACTGTCCTTGAAGATAATCAATAGAGTTGTCAATTTATCATGGAAATAATAGAGAAGAAACTGATATCAAAGTTCCATTCCTTTCTTAATCATGGCTTTTCTGCACCACAACCACAAGGCAAAAGAAGGAAGTCCAACGCTTCCTGAATTTTTTGTCTGAAATGGTCTGAACCCAATTTTCAAAATTTCCAAATTAAACCCTAAATCCCCCAAATTTCGCGATTGAACTAAACTGGTCCGCTCAAGTTCTAGTGGGTCAGCACCACGCCTTTAAACTTTTCCCACAGTCGTCGTCCCCGATGAGTGCAGGATCGCCGCAGTGTCCAATTGTGAGACATCAATTCGGTCAGGAACACCGGTTCGAGCCACCACCTTCGTCAGGGACTCTAACTCCGGCAAGTCAATCAGCACCATCCTGAGTCGGGGGCAAGGGGACTTTGCGAGTGGCTTGGGACGTGGCGAACGTGACTGAAGGTGTCGAGAGCTAGCTTCGGTGGAGAATCTCTGGTGCGGTGCGGGTAGAATTGCAGGGATAGACCGCAATTGAGTCTCATCGATCGGTATTATTTACTTATTATACCTAAATGGCGCAAGCTAAACTGTTTGGAAAGGAAAAGACATTATCTTTGATATATATCATCAATCACAAAAAAAGAAAATTTTAAAAAAATTGTTCAAGAAAGGCCCCATTTGCGGGAAAAGCTGACTAGCTGTAAAAGGCATAGGACTCCGCAATTGATGTTCCATCTATAAATATGTCACGCATCTTGTTATCAATATGTGTAGACCTGAACCATCTCCACCTCCCAAATCATGGCTTCTTCCTTATTGCTGTCCATCATGTCTCCTTTACGTGTTGTCTTCTTCTTCTTACTCTTCTTGGTCGACACCACTTCATCTCATGGAGCAGGCACTTTTGCTTCCTCCACTTCTTTTCCCACTATCAACGCGACCGGGAATAAAGATGAAGCAGAGGCTCTCCTGAATTGGAAATCTACTCTCGACAACCATAGCCAATCTCTCCTCTCTTCATGGCACGGTGACAATGCTTGCGGCTTTACCGGTGTCACTTGTGACGGTTTTGGAGCCATCACCCATCTAAATATTTTCAATCTCGATTTGAGAGGAACTCTAGATGGCCTTGACTTCTTGTGCTTAACCAGTGTGGTTAGCTTTAAATTCGCCAACAACTCAATCTATGTTTCCATTCCCTCGAGTATAGGTAACCTTTCCAAACTCAACTCTCTTGATCTTTGCTTCAATGAACTGTCTGGGGCAATTCCTCCAAGTATAGGTATGCTGGAGAGTCTTCATTCTTTGTACCTATGTGCAAATAGCATTTCCGGTTCCATTCCGACAGAGATAAGTGGCTTGAGGAATTTGGAAATTCTTTACATATGGCAGAATAGACTTTCGGGACTTATACCTTCGGAAATCGGGGGGCTCACTTCTCTGATTAGACTTTCCCTATCGTTCAACAATCTCGCCAGCTCACTTCCTCGTTCCATCATAAACTTGACGAGTTTATCTCTTCTTTACCTTTCCCACAATGGATTTTCGGGACCTATACCTTTAGATATTGGGTGGCTCACTTCTCTTACCAACCTTGACCTATCGTCCAACAATCTCACTGGCTCACTTCCTCATTCCATCGGAAACTTGACGAGATTATCTTTTCTTTAACTTTCCCGAAATGGATTTTCGGGATCCATACCTTCAAAATTTGGGAGGCTCACTTCTCTTACCAACCTTGTTCTAGGGTTCAACAATCTCATCGGCTCACTTCCTCGTTCCATCGGAAACTTGACGAGTTTATCTCTTCTTCACCTTTCCCAAAATGGACTTTCGAGACCCATACCTTCAAAAATTGGGAGGCTCACTTCACTTACCAACCTTGACCTATCATCCGACAATCTCGTCGGCTCAATTCCTCCTTCCATCGGAAACTTCACGAGTTTATCTTTTCTTTACCTTTCCCAAAATGGACTTTCGGGACCCATACCTTCAGATATTGGGAGGCTCACTTCTCTTATTCATCTTGTCCTATTATTCAACAATCTCACTGGCTTAATTCCTAGTTCCATCGGAAACTTGACAAGTTTATCTGCTCTTGACCTTGGTTACAACAAATTCTTTGGTTCCTTGCCTTCTGAACTTAATAAGTTAACACGCTGGACATCTTTTCATCTATATCATAATGAACTAGAGGGGGAATTGCCAGGAGATATATGCCTTGGGAGATCATTGCAATATTCCTCTATCAACAACAATCATTTCACGGGTCCCATCCCAACAAGCTTAGAGAACTGGAGCACATTAAGAAGATTGAGGCTAGATGGAAACCAACTTACTGGAAACATAACAGAAGCTTTTGGAATATATCCAAATCTAAATTTTATTGACTTAAGCCACAACCATTTGAACGGAGAACTTTCATGGAAGTGGGAGAGTTGTCGTAATTTGATGACCTTAAGGATGTCAAATAACAACATTTCTGGCAAGATACCCGTAATGTTTGGAAGGATGGCTCAGTTACAAGAACTCAACCTTTCTTCAAATAATTTAAGCGGAGAGATTCCAAGAGAATTGGGAAGCCTGCCGATGCTGTTTAAACTCGATTTAAGCCACAACTCGATTATGGGAAAGGTCCCGATTGAGATTGGACTTTTATCCCATCTGGCATATCTGAACTTGGCATCAAATAATTTGAGCGGATTGATACCGGTGCAGCTAGGCTCATGCAAAAGCTTGTTGAGCTTGAACTTGAGCAGAAACAAATTTTGGAGAAGCATTTCTCTTGAGATAGGCAACGCACAGTTCCTTGAGGTTCTTGACTTGAGTCATAATTTGTTGATTGGAAACACACCGGAAGTACTTGGACAGTTGAGAATGCTGCAACTTCTAAATATCTCCCACAATGGCCTTTCCGGTTCTATTCCACATACTTTTGGTGATATGTCAGCCTTAACTTCCATCGATTTATCCTACAATAACCTGGAAGGTCCTCTCCCAAATATCAAAGCTTTCAATGAGGCTCCATTTGAGGCAATTCAACATAACAAAGGGCTCTGTGGAAATGTCGTTAGCCTACCCAAATGCAATTCTACTGAGAGTAAGAAACGCAATCGATATGTTGGAGCTAGAATCACAGTAATCCTCATTCTCTCGTTCTTGGGGTTTCTCCTTTTCTCTTGCACCGTGATCATTCTTATAATCGTCAATCATCGTCGAAGAAGGATTATCAAGAGAGACAACAATGAACAGGCAAATGATTTGGATTTTTCCGTATTTTGAGTTATGATGGCAAAGGTTTCTACGATCGAATCATCGAGGCCACGGAAGGATTTGACTCCAAGTACTATGTGGGTGAAGGAGCACATGGAATCGTTTATAAAGTCGAGATATTAGAAGGTCAAACGATTGCTGAGAAGCAAATCTCTTCATCCGAAGACGATAGTGAGATTGTTGATTTGATACCATTTGAAAGGGAAATTGAAGCCTTAACAAACTTACGCCATCACAACATCGTGAAATTTTATGGATTCTGCTCTCATGTCCAACGCTGTTTTTTGGTGTATGAGTACATGGAAAGAGGAAACTTGAGAACAACTTTAAACGAGGATGAAAGAGCAAAAGAATTTCAATGGAACAAGAGGGTAAATGTCGTCTGAGGAGTTGCGGATGCATTGTCCTATATGCATTATGAATGTTCACCTCCATTGATTCATCGAGACTTGACCAGTAATAACATTCTATTGGATCGCGATAATGAGGCTCATGTTTCTGATTTTGGCACCGCAAGGCTATTGAGGCTAGATTCGTCAAATTGGACTAATATTGCTGGCACCATCGGATATATTGCCCCAGGTACTTCGTAATTTGTTGAATTTTGATGGGCATCCTGTGTCGGATATCCATTCTTTAATTGAACTTTCACTAGGTTCTTTAGTTATTTAATCTTCTTATAGATATTAGTTTACTAATTTAGAGCTTTCAAGTTCAGTGTTGATAAGAAAGCTTTCCGATTTCCCTGATAGAGGAAGAATTGGAAAAAAAAAAAGTGCGGAAAAACATCATAAGGGATCCATTCCAAGTATATCAAGTTCGTTTGACCTAAATAATGCTCGCACTTTAAGGGTCAAACAACATCCTTTGAACTTCGCCAAGGAATATACTCCATGCTCAAATCAATTTTGTAAGTTTAGACTAAGTAGAAATTTGTACTTGTAATCATCACATTTTGGGAAGCAATATTGTCAACTTGAAAACAGCTTGTGATAGAGCTTTTAAAAAAATTATATGATTTCTCCACTTGCAAAGCTGGCTTATTCTACAATTCCTACCGAAAAATGCGATGTGTATAGCTTTGGAGTCGTCCCATTGGAGACAATCATCGGAAAGCATCCAGGAGATCATGTATCTCGGGAATGTATATCGTTTACCCAAATTGAGTCGCCCATGTTGTTGAACGATGTGCTGGATCAACGTCTCTTGCCTTCTAGACTTCGTCTTCAAGATGCCCAAGCTGTGAATGTACTCGTAGTCAGTTCTCGCCCGGAACTGATCATGCCTGGGAATGCTAACCATTAGGGAAAGGCTAATAGGGGAATTAAATTTGCGCGACTAAAGAAAATTCGACCGTGAATAGACTTCGACCATTAAATCGCGGAAGCGATATTTTGAGCCACTGTTGGCCGATCCAAGGATAGTTAGGGGTCAGTTCGCCACTGTCCTAGTAGTGGATCACGGGTGATTCCGTTGGACCACGAAACGACTTGACGAATGATTCTGAAATTATACCGAACGATCATACCCCTCGGATCAAGTGATTGATCTTCGCGATTTTAATGACAACCGAGGTCGTCATGCACCGAACGGACTTGCACGTGACTCGATTTAGTATCAGTCATGAATCGATTTCGCGAATTTCCCCAGCAAGCCGCCCGTTAGCTCGAGAAACGCTCGAATTGCGTTTAATAAAATTTAATTATGGAATTTTTGCCCAAATTGGACACCGGAAAATTAGGAAGTCACGCCGGAACATTAGGACGACGTTGCACGTGACACGTGCGAATTTTTGGTGCTCTCAAATCCTTCGGAAAATCTCGATTTGGACGAGAAATGGAGAAAGTGACGATTTTGCCCTTAAGGATTTATAAAGGATTAGTTTTAGGGCAAGGGGCATTTTGGTCAATTGTGCCTTAGATATTTTTGGGTAAAAAAAAATTACTATTTAGGTCAAGAAGACCTTTTCTCTCTCCTCCATTTCTCTCCCTCTCTCCATCGTGAAATCCCCTCCCCCAAATTGCCGTGAGCTTCCCCCTCCTCCACCGTGGGCTTTCCTTGGCCGTTCTTCCTCCACCGCCGGCACCGCCGCTCGCCGCCGCACGCCGGACCGCCCTCAAGCCGCCGTACCAGCCCTCAAGCCACCACCACCAACCGTCGTCTCTCTCTTTCTCTCCCTCTCTCTGTCACGTGAGGCAAGACCCATGGCCAAGTAAGCCGCGCCGCCGCCACCCAAGCCGATCGCCGCCACCCGGGAGTCGTACACCGTCGCCGCCGTTCCCGATTAAGGGCCGCCGCTTTCTGTTCTAGCCGCGATAGTCTAGAACGCAGGTAAGTCGCGCTCTAAACCCAATTTAGGACTTCGGGTATCGACGGGCGATTTTGGGTGAAATCTGTATAAAGTTAGGTGCGGAATTGTATGAATTGGTAGTGGAAATTTTATGGCGGGCCTTGGGATTTAATTCGGCCATTAATTATTGGAAATTAGAAAATAACAGTGGCTGTGATCTACTGTTCACGGGGCTGTGATGGGCCGATCGGGACGCAAGTTGGATTTTTAGAACCAAGAAATTATGGTGAAAAAGTCCCGTGAAGGACCGAAATCGATTTGACGTCGTTTGGTGGAAGAAAAATAATGATTTCGGTATTAACGGACTAGTGTTCGGCAAATTTTGGGATTTGTTTCATGGACGAATTTATCGAGTTCACCTTGGGTGAAATTATGGCTGGAATTATGATGGTTTGGGGGTTATTTAGAGAGTAAATAAGGGCTGCCTACGAGAAGTATACATGCTGGAATTTGTGGTTCGGAATAATGTGTTTATGGCTTGATTTGTGGTGTATATGTGTCGGATTGTTGTGTGATATCGTGGCTGAATTGTGAGGGTCCTTGTGACTGAAATTACTCGCAATTGTGATGGTCATATGTGTGTTTATAAGCTGCGAATTACTGTTTACAAGCTGTGATTTACTGTTCATGGGGCTGTGATGATTTGTTCGGGACACAAGTTGGGTTTTTAGAACCGGCATTTAATGGCGAGAAAGTGTCGTGAATGATCGGAATTGATCCGACGCCATTTGGTCGGAGGAAATTGGCAATTTACGTGTTTTGGGCATGTTTGAATTATTCTGGATGGGGTTGATTTAATTGAGTGTTTATTTGTGTGTTATATGAGGTAACTTGAGGATGAAATGAGGATGTTTCGAGGCTGGAGTGAGACTGAATAGAGTATTGGATGTTGTGGGATGGAATTGGCGAGCTTAGGGCTCGATTTAAGGACAAGTGGTGTCGGTTTGGTGTGTGGTAGTATGGCTGGACTGTGGTGTTTAATAGGCTTGGAAATGTCGAAATTATGCCTATGAACGTGGCTGTGTTTGTGGGCCCATGAGCGGCCTTGTGTGTTTATTGAACCGTGATTTGATGGATTGAAATGTGTTTGATTATGTGCATGCGTGGGCCAGGTTAAATTAATTGTTGAAATTGGCCATGTCGAATGCTGAGTGAGCATGTTTTACGTGTTAATTAATACGTGCACGGGCCACGTGTGATGGGCCAGTTGGGTGTGGTATATGCGTGTCGAGCATGCGCATGAGTAAGAAAGAAATGTGGTGTGGCATGTGATTGTGGAATTTATGTGAAGGTGTGGAATTGCGAGTATTGGGATCGGGCCGAGTATCATAAGCTCGGGCAACGATCACGTAGGTATGTTGCATTTGGCACAGGCTGAGGCTTGAAAAAGCAAGAATGAGAATCGGTCCGAGGCACGATCAGCTCGGGTGAGACCGGGATCGGACCGAGGCATTATAAGCTCGGGTTTCGATCATGTAGGCCTGTCGCATTTGGCGCAGGCTGAGGAAAGTGTGAATGTGGGATCGGACCGAGGCGTGTGATGCTCGGGGCGCGATCGAGTGTGAATGTGGGATCGGACCGAGGCGTGTGATGCTCGGGGCGCGATCGAGAGGCCTGAGGCGTGTACGGGTACGCGGGCCGAAAGTGTGGTGATGAATGGTCACAGTGTACCTGAGGCATGTACTTCAACGCGGGTCACTGGCGAGGAATGAGAAAGAGGAAATGAGAATGGAAGGAATAGTGGAATGAGAATTGGTACATGCGTGTGTTGCATACGGCGTGATTGTGATTGAGTACGGGTGTACGCATGTTTGAGTTTGACTATATTATTTGAGGTGCCTGCGATGTGATGACTTGATGTGTACGGATGCACGTGTGTCTGTGTGATTGTCTGGAGGTACGTGATAGCCTAGGTGGGGTTTAGGGGTGAACTTGCTGAGAAGTGTTCTCATGGTTGTCTCAACCAACATTTCAGAACCCCCGCCTGAGCCATGATCATATTGAGGCCGACTCGGAGCCGTCGGGTGAACAGACAGCTGAGGAGGATTCATGTGGTGATGCCGAGGACAGTGAGTCAGAGTGGACGCCTCCGAGAGGGCGTAGGGACTAGTTCTGGGAGCGAGGCAATAAATTGAGAGGGCCCCATTTTTGGATAATGCTGATCTAGGATACTGATCCTTTTTGTATTTTGGAAGTTAATAATTACTGGTTCGGTGTGCTTGTAATAATAATGGATATTGTAAATATTATGGTGTAAGTTTGGCAATGAGAACGAATATGTTCATTCTCCCTGATCGATTCCCCAGTTTTAATTGTCTGGGATTATTTGTTAGTATCCGCTGTGGTTGTAAATCTCTTATGGTTATTGAGGTCGGCGACATTCCTGGGACGTCGCACTTATCGACCAGGTAAGGGGTGTCGCATGCCCGTTGGGGTTCGGGACGTGACATGATATGCTTGCTTGATCACATAAATGCTTCTGTACTCATATTATTGTGAGGGACGATGCCCGATGGATTTCGGTTGCCGTTCGCGGATGGATTTTGGAACGAAGCTCTTAATTAAATGCCATCTTCAAGTGAGGTCGATTGATGAAGCCGTGCCCGATGGGGCGGGACAATGCCAGGTTACGCCAGAAGACCACCGACGTGAGTGTCAATCGTGGCCCTGAGCGGTCGTAATAATCGGAACACATGTGGATGCATTGTGCATAATTATGTGATATGAAGTGTTCTTAATTACAATATGTACTTGTCTCATGCCATTTAGAAGCGAGGCTTCGCGTGTGATTTATTTGTGTGAATATTATGTGCCGACAGGAGGTAAGAATTCACGTGCGGCTATTGGATTGTGTTTGGCATGTTTCCAAGGCGAGGTACCGTCCTACTCAAGGTTTAGCAGTTCCGCTTATTGAGTTTTACTCATTTGTTATTGTTCACCTCTTTTCAGGCCTCTAGATTGGATATTCGGACTGTGCGCTTTGGTGTCCCCGTGGACCACGACGTTGAGGTGGTCGAGTTTGTAGCACCGGGAACC